CAATCAACTACATCACTATGTGCTGGACACCCGCGATGCCAGAAACTGAGCGATGGCATGCAGAACTCGAAACTAGAGATGGATTTTGGGCACCATACTTTGAATCGGAATTCGAGAGTAGCGATGAGGAGAATCAAGCTATGGAGCAGGCCCTCCACAACCTTATCTAGTCACCAATCACCATCCGAATACCATAACGATGTCAAACTATGTGGAGCTCAATGTGAGGCAGCGATAACAGATTGTTGGACTGTTCTTGAACCACGATGTTATCCAACTTGAAGAGTATTTCGAAATCCTCTGGATTGACTACTGTCCTGATTGCGATCATGCTTGGGTTGATGTACAGCACGAATCTGGTATTCGTGACTACTGTGATTTAGATTTCTTCGAGTCTAAATGTTTCCTTAGAGTTTCCTCTTGTCCCTGGTGTGACACTTACGATGAAGAATTTTTAGCGGAAACTGAAGCCTTTAGTTTCTCAGACTCCGCTTTTGATGATTATTAGGTTTTGTTTGTTTAAACAGTTATTTTGTTTTGGGGAATGTAACTGGTACGGGTACATGGTTATTGGTTTTGTTTTATGTTTTGTTTTAAGTATCGCTTTGATACTTGCTTAGTTTTAAGTATCGTTTGATACTTGGTTTTGTTTTATGTTTTGTTTTAAGTATCGCTTTGATACTTGGTTAGTTTTAAGTATCGTTTGATACTTGGTTTTGTTTTATGTTTTGTTTTAAGTATCACTTTGATACTTAAGGAGTTTTACCAAAGTGTATCGATTGATACCTTTGATTAGTTTGGTTCATGTTAAGACATGAACAGATTTGTGTATTTAATGACCGCCTGTTTCTATGATAGAAAGGGCAGACTTCGACAGACAGTATTTCAATATACTTGGTTGAACGGTTACTTCTTTGTTCCTCAGTACACCCTCGAGGCCTCCTTTAGTTCTTAGCTCTCACCTCCTCTCTGGAAGAGCAGGCCACCTACCAACTATCATATCCTTTATCGTTAACGTGATTAGCACCCTGCGAACACGTTACATTACGGGTAAGCCTTGCGCATATCATTTATATTTCGCTCATGACCTCGTTATAAGGCTATAGGTTTCACGCATATGACTCAGTCGAGTCATAAGACTTGTTTATTGTGTTATGATTGGTTTATGAGTTTTTGCACATGACCTCGCTATGAGGTTATGGGTTTTGAGCAGGTAACCACTTTGGTTACATGACTAGTTTATTATAATTTGGTTTCGCACATGTGACCACTTTGGGTCGCATGACTATGGACGGGAAGAATACTATATAAGGAGGCCGATGGGGCCGAGGAGGATAGGTTCTTCACGCTTTGTTCTAAGTACTTTTCCTACTTATTACTTTAACAAATATAAAACACCTTTACAATCTTTATCTTTATTTCAACATTATCATTATGCCAAGGCAAGTTCTACACGAAGAAGAGTTAGAGAAAGCTTATAATAGGCATCTCCGATAGAAGACAGAGGTCTTGTACTATTGGTAACGTAGGGGGAGGCCTAGTGCTATTATAAGATGAAGAAAAGAGAAGAAAGAGAAGAGAAGTATCATTCCCCCTCGCCAAGAACTAACCATCCAAGGAGGGATCGTTACACATATTTGCTATAGTGTTCTCCAAGTTGTTTCAAATCATGTTAAGTTTGCTTTCCTTATCGATCGCCCATCTTGTAAATCATTCTGCTGTTATATAGTGCAAGTCAGAGATTCCCCATACCTCTCGGAGTCTCTCCCCACAGTTTCTTAGCAGGATAATGTAGAGGGTAGCATCATCAAATTCTGCCTCGTATTCCAATAGTCAGCATTCGTTCCAATATGCCAAAAAGGTCTGTTTTCCTTGTTGGAGTTTCTCCAGCTTCCATCTTGCTGTCTCCTTAGTGTTGCAATCTCCCAATTGTTCAAAGAGTGTCACCTTGAATTCCTCATACATGACCCATTCTTTCTGCTTCCTTCCATCTTAGAAGGGCATTATCCATTGTCCCGCGAGTCCTCTAAGTAGAGATTCCGCATAGGGAATCTTAATCTCATTATTGCATTCTCCATATCCCTTGACGGCAAAATACCTTTCGCATTGTGTCAGGAATATTCTAGATTATCTTCTGCTTCTTCATACGTGTCGAGTTCTTTTACTTTTGGTCGTTGGATATTTCCTTGTCCTGTGTTTCGTGTTGCTACCAGAAATGCCTGAAACTGATTCTCAGTCATTCCAAGTATTCTAGTGCCTGGTGCCAGGGCAGCCAGGGCCAGTGGCACAGGTACCTCTGATCCCGACATTCTCTCGGGTCATGGGGTTTCTGCAGGTGAGCTATTAACTAGTAATCCCTTCTCTGGGGTTACTGGGCTTGCTGCCCTTGAGGGCTCTGCTGAAACGTGATCTAGGGTGTCGCTAAATCCTCCTAAGTTAAGGTTTTAATTGTTGATATTGATATCTTCTTCCCTATCTGGGTTGAAGGATGCTATCTTGTATTGTTTAGTATCGCACTAGGTGATGCTTTATAATGTAAGAATCCCTCCTTGGATTGTTAGTTCTTGGCAATGGGGAATGATACTTCTCTCCTTCTTCTGTTTCTTTCCTTAGTCTTACGATAGCACTAGGCCTCTGCCTATGTTACCGATAGTACAAGACTTTTGTCTTCTATCTGGAACGCCTATTATAAGCTTTCTCTAACTCTTCTTTCGTGAAGAGCTTTCCTCAGCGTAACAATAACGGTTGCGATAATAATAAAGATTGTAAAGGTGTTTGATATTTATTAAAGTAATAAGTAGGAAAAGTACTTAGAACAAAGCTTGAAGAACCTATCCTCCTTGGCCACATAGGCCTCCTTATATAGTGTTCTTCCCGCCCGTAGTCATATGACCTAAAGTGGTCACATGTGCGAAACAAAATCATAACAAACTAGTCATGTGACCAAAGTGGTCACATGCTCAAAATCCATGACCTCATAGCAAAATCATATGCGAAAACTTATAAACCAATCATAACGCAATAAACAAGTTATATGACTCGACTGAGTCATATGGCTGAAACCCATGACCTCATAATGAGGTCATGTGCAAAACATAAATCATATACGCAAGGCATACCCGCAAGGCACACTCACAAGGCATACTCGCTAGGCGCTCGTCTCATGACTTATAATTGAATCATGTGCGAAGTATAACATAATAAGTCATATGTCCCAATTGAGTCATATGCATGAAACAATAATATACCTATAATTCATAATCATGAGTCATGTGAAAACCTTTTCCGTGCCAAGCCATGTTCATGACAGTGCATGTGGTTGTCATTACCAATGATTTTCCTCTTTTGAATCGTGGTTAATTTTGTCCAAGCATAATACAATAAATTTCTGAACCAAAATCGAATTCAGAAGGGTGACTTGAAATCTTTAGTGGAACCTTTTACTCTGTATCTAGTACTTGTATTGGTAGAAAAATTCAACTATTCATTAACTTTAAAAACCAAATTCTCCACTACTGCCAGGAGTTAGATGCTGGCAGGGGTGAGCCACGCACAGTATGAACATACTATAGTACTTTTAAGCAGGCTGGTTGTACTTGTAGATCCTCTTTCTCCCACAAAGCTGAGCTGGGGAAATTTTGAGAGTATTTGTTATAACACTGGCAGTTATTTCTTTTGTTTTAGTGTCTATTGGTGGTTTTTTCCTTTTCTGCCTGCCGCCTTTCCCGTATTGAGGGAGGATGTGTGGTTGGCTCTGGATTAGAGGAACTGTAGGATTGGAAGGCATTGAACATAGTTGGAATACCTTTCTTTGTTAGTGCTTTGGGCCTTTATACCATAACTTACGTTGAATGCAGCGGATGAGTCCCAGTCTTGTGTACCTGAATCAATCCACGGACTTAAAAAATACAGCCCGAGCAGTAGCAAGGAGGAGTAATGTGGTCTCGAGACTGTACTAATACTTGCCTGTACTGTACGAGTACTTACCTGTACTGTACACAACTACTTCCGCTTGTACGATCGTACCCGTACAGTTGAGTGCCATGGTGAGGTACCGGTATGCCTGCTCGATCTCGGCGCCTTGTCGCCCGCCGAGAGAGGTGCATATATGGATGAGCGATGGCGAGGCGTTCCGGCATGACATTGTATGGGCTTGACTTGGAGGGTGTATTACCATAGCTTAAGTTAGCCTTTATCACCAAACGCCACACGCAGCAACCACCTCATGGTCGGCTTGGTAGACTACTATGTTTCCAGTGTTGTACTGTACTCGAGCACTGTACTCGAGTACCGGTATGCGGTTATCGTGAACCTTCCAGCTTTCCTTCCCCTTCCCCTTCCCTTCTCCCATCGCTCGTTCATAGTACTTGTACTAGAGCCTCCAACACGACAACTGAGGGAAACGCCATTTGTGACGACTCGTATCGTACAGTACAATATCCCGAACTTTGTCTCACTCATATCGTACAAGTGCTACAGAGCGTTTACCCTACCGGTCCTTACAGTAGGGCAATATCCTTGGCATGGTAGGAGAAACCTTAAACTAGAGGGCCGGGTATTTTTGCTTAGTAATATATCCTTGTTGGTTCCTAATGCGGCAGGCAGTTATCCATCAGTTAATTCTGCTTTATTGGCAATTTAAATACCCAGTGACTGGGTATTACATTGAGTGATAGTCCACCTAATTTTGAACCCTATAGCTCGCTCAAAGGGTTGTCTTTTCAAGATAACTTTCTGTTAGATTCTCCGCCATGTTTTTCTGTGATATTATCATATCGAAGAATGGAGAGGAAACTAGGGTAAGGGTTGTTTTTGAAGAGCCATAGTAATTTAAATTGGGCATTTTCTCAGGTTCAGAGTGCCCTGGTTAAAGAGTTCTCACAACCGTGCTGGTATTTTCTTACACGGGTCGCACGGAGGTGAACCATAAGGCCCCCCCTCCCCCTTCTACAGTAGCACCACCAGCGCTCCTCGCCCCTCCTTCCCTCACTCCTTCCATACTCGTCCTTGCCCTTCTTCATCCACTCTCTCTCTCACTCTCCAGCCTTGAAAAAAAAGAATTAACTTGTGAGCACTGACACGGTACTCGCCTGATCCCTGGTGTCTCGTGTTGTTTCTTATTGCTACGATAGGCCGGTTCAACGGCGACTGAGTGAGCGCAACGAAACGCTGGTACGTGCCCTATTGTGCTGGTACTCGAGCACTTGCCATCCCTGTGAGCACCGTGCAACAACCCATCGTGCCCTCACCTCCCCTCACACAGCGAACGTACCTAGGTAACCACAAGCTGCGCTCTTTCATCCTCATCGCCTGCAGTCAAAAATTCTCTACGGGTGTTAGTTCAACTCAATCCGAGTTGGTCAATCGACTCAACTCAACCCGGCCCCCGTTTTCTCCCCGTCTTATTATTATTGTTTCGGAAAACGGAAACGCGATTTAAACACGCGAAAAAAAAAACATTTTTTGATACACAAGTTCCACCATGCCGCCAAAACGCAAGCGAGGTGGAGGGGTTAGTGAGAACGCGGTGGAGTCGCCGGAGGAACAACAGAGCGAGCCATCGGTCAACAATAATCCGCCCCTAATAGTATCGGACTGCCCCTTCACGGTTGAGTACAAGGCGGCCACTCCAGCAGCAAAGAAGAAGAAGAAGAAGAAGGGTGGCGCTGCTAGCGCTGGTGGTAGCCATGCGCCACGGCAAGCGAAGAGGTACACCAAGTCCGGAGTTCCAATTAATCCAGTGGGAGCGTCGCGGAAGCATCAGGAGATTGATAGGGAGGTACCGTTTGATTCTACACTTTATGCTATCAAGCCAAGGAAGCAATGGGATCAGTTAACAAAGTATCGGAGTTTTGTCGGTACGTTCTTTCAATTCCCTCTCCTTGCACTTGATGGCTAACGCATTATTATATACATGAAGTCGGGACCGAAAATTTCGCCCTAAACGAGTACATCTTCGTAAATCATAGCAACATCCCCCATGGCACGGACCTGGGCGCCTCAGATGACAAGAAATTCTGGGTGGCTCGCGTGCTGGAGATCCGTGCGATTGATGAGTCCCATGTATACTTGCGCGTGTACTGGCTCTACTGGCCAGAGGAGCTGCCCGGTGGGAGACAACCCTACCACGGGGCGAAGGAGATCATCGCTAGCAACCATATGGAGATCATAGATGCTATGACTGTTAGTGGCAGGGCGACTGTCAAGCATTGGATGGAATTGGACGAGGAGGAGGATCTGCCGGATCTCTTCTGGAGGCAGAAGTTTGATTACCCTACTCAGATGCTTATGGTACCTCCACCTTTTTAATATGCGAAAGCGGGGCTGATAGTGGTGATGTAGGAAGTCAGAGAACACTGCAAATGTCGTGGCTACTACAATCCCGATAAAATTATGTACGCCTGTACCTCGTGCAAAATATGGCTCCACGAAGAGTGCCTGATAGCGGACATCAAGAAGAAACTTTACAAAGGAATAACCGAAGGCCCGCCCTCCCCTACCAACGACAGCCAAGAAGAGGAAGACTCGGAAGAGGAAGACGAAAGCATCACTGCCGCAAACAGAAACCGGGGAAACAAACGCACTTCCGCAGCTGTAGCCACTGCCTCGAATTCAAAACCCCAGACCCCAAAATCCTCCAACGCAAGGGGGAAGAACGCAGTGGCGGGGAGCGAAAAGGAAGACTTTTTCCAAGTGATTATTCGTCCGGAGGTCAACGGACCTGTGATAGCCGCTGTTAGGGATCTCAGGAATAGGAAGGAGTGGAGTGAAAGAGGGGGCAAGTGGGAGGAGGGGGTCGGATGTTTGGGATGCGGGAGTGTTATCTCTTGAGGTGGTTGTATTTGCCTAGGGATACCGGAGTTGGGGGTGTATAGCTCTCCTCTACTTGGCTTTTTCGTTAGGCATTTCGGTCATACTTGATTGGGGTTTGTGGATTTGTGAGTCGGTTTGTTGGCAGTTGGAGTGTGTACTCTGGCTTTTGCTCCTCTTTTCTGATTTTACTTTGTCATTCGGATTTCTTCTATTCGATGGCTGGATTTGCTTGCTTCCTTATTTAATCAATTCATCTTCCCTCTAGCCCCCCGCCCTGTCTCTGCATCACATCAAGCGAGCAGGTGGACATCCTCATATCTTTTTCCCCGCAGTAATCTCGGGTTGCGATGGCGCGTTTGCCATCACACGTTTGGTGTTTCCACTTGCTGGCTGTATCTACTGTGCAGTATTTTTTCTTCTGTGTGAACTTGCTTCCTGTCATTGATAACTACGATAACCTGAATTATCGTTAAAATATACATGGAAAACTGATAGGATGCGCGCCAAAACAACAACAGGGGAATGGAATGGCCGTGTTGATATTTCGACCAATGTCTGCTGTGGGTGGGAGGTTTATTTTGTAAAGTTTTATGCTCTCACTATCCAAGTCTATGATGGTATTTCGTCTTTGGGAGATACCACTTTTGTTTCGAGCCCCCATACTTTCAAAACCCCTCGCGGTTCTATCCGAGCGGTCAATTCAATATCACCCAGTTGCCATCATACTCCCAAATCGTTCATCCATGGCTCTCTGCTCGACCACGAAGGGGGTTTCTTGTAAACACTTCAGCAATAAAGCAAAAATATGTTTTGTGGTGGCCAAAAACCCAGAGTTTGCGCTGTGCAAATCGATCCACAGTGCGATCAAAGTGGTGAGGATGTAGGCCGAGGAAGCTACCCAACATTGCCTAGGATTATTTTAACTTCTCCGTGGACGTGCATTCTATCAAAAACGGGTCATTCTGTCACCCTGCCTTTATTTTGGTTGGCATCATATCAGTTTTCCCAAACGTATAACACCATCACAGCGGAAGTCGTCTTGTCTTATCCAACATGGCCCCGTGCGGTACCGCCAAAAAGTCTCGAGGGGGGGGGGGGAACCGCTCTGTTTAGGGTTAAGCTTTTTGCTTTACGATCAGTTTCTTTGTGTTGTCTCCCTAACGCTATTGTTTATCGCGACTACCGGCATTGTATCCATTGTATCACTCGCTGCTGCGCCGCCGAACGCAGAGTCCTAAGGCTCCGGTACTATCGGATTTTTTTTTTTTCTTTCCCCTTCCCAATTGTGGGGTGGCTGGTCTGGGGTGGCGGTGCTGTTAGTGATGTGAGGGTGTGAGGTGCATGGTTCTCAAGAGATATTATGAACGATTGAGTTAGTGTTTATTTCGTGTTGTTTGGGGGTGTGGGAAAAGGGGGAACGGTGTGCCCGGGATGACCAGGAGACATCATCCTGCTAGAGAAATTCTCACTTCAGTGCCGATACTCATAAAAACCTTGTTGCCTATTGATTTACACAAACTATTTTTCAGGAGGTGTAGGATTCACGTTACTTTGCTAGGGGCGCTCTAGCTTTACCGGTATTCCCTATGTATGCTCCAGGAAGTGCTGTGGAGTTGGCGGTGAGCATGAGCAAGAAACTCGATCCCAAGATCAGTGTGTCCTTCAAGAGGGTAATTGACCAGTATCTAAATCCCCCGCAAGGTATTCCTAACGTTTTGAAAACGTCTCTTAAGAGTCCGGTGGATTCCAGATTGCGTGTTTTGTAAACAATTATCCGTGCTCTAGCATTCAAGAGTCGTGTTGGGCAAGTATCATACTAGTCCCCGTGTGTTTTATAATAATATTATTATCATATATAAAGAAAACATGAACCATTCGGACCTCATTTACACATGAGTGATTAGTTATGGCGGCACAACTAATTTGTATCACCCTCGAAAAAACCTGACGCAGCGCACCGGGCGAGGTTATCACAAGCCATGAGTGGCGTAGTACTGGTACTCCCCTGTCATTGGAATCAACGGTGTACGAGTACGGTGCCAGCCCAAACCCGCCTTACTCTCGGCCAAACCTACATTTTCCCATCACTGGCACCCTAGCGGCAATTTCTCCCCTAGGTATGGGGAGGTCCCGTCGTTTCCAATAGGGATCGATGTCTACTATATCTCCCGCTCTTGAGGATGTATGTCCTCCTATAACATAACCAGAGAGCCCTAATATGGGCTCGGACGAAAAAGTCGAAATCTACTTCCGGGAGGATAAGTATTTGTGAGCGAAGCGAACAAATACCTAGCTAGCACAGCGGGTAGGATGTCGAGAACCAGCTAATCCATAACTTGTGCTCCCGGCAGGAGCTCGGTCAGGAATTCAATCCCTACCTCGTGATGAGTTTGATGTTGAGCGATTCACCCGGTGGTGCAGGGGAGCTAATAACCTTTGCCTTGTGGAGGACTGGGAGGTTGGAGGGGTTGAAGGACATGAGCCTTCTGTAAGAGCCGGCTGGTTAAGGACCTTTCGGACGCCATGACTCCCATTGAGATCCTGGATGGGATTGCTTTTTCTTTCTATCTATGATGTTAGGAATTGTGTTTCTGCTCCCACAAAAAAAACCTCCGCTACTAGTGAGTGACACTGTGTGACTGCATACGTCACTCCCCTGTCCATATGCCTATGATACCTCTATGCTTTCCCTCCTTTTCTCTTTCATCTGAACTGTCTGTTTTGTGATTAGCCAATACCTCAATATCAATCCCACGTTTGCTCATATAGTCTCTCCCTTTGGAGCCGCTCAACAGATGGCTCTCCCGTACTAGATGAATCCTGCTAAATAGTCAGTTTTATCTCCTGGGAATCAATTGCAAGTTGCCTCACATCCTTGATTTCATAGAATGGATTAGAGTAGCTATTTTTCTTCTTCTTTCCTCTCCTTAATTTAGAGGAACAATAGGGAGAGAATGGCAGTACTGCAGTGGTGTTGGGATGTTATGGGTAGCACCGCGTGATACTGTGTGACTCAAGCCGGTCGCGTTATCCATTACTGCTGGGTTTGAGTTTCGTTTTTTTTTTTTTTTTAAGTTACATGTGGAGCTCCCTCGGTCACTCGGGAACTGGACTGTTGGCTCATCGGGCGGATCACCAACGGAGGAGTTCGGTTTAATCCACATTTCTTTTTGACGGGAAGGGCCTCGAGACAAAAGTTATCATCCTCAGAGTTCCCACCGGGGTTTGGAGATGAGAGTGGTGAGGACGCGGGGGATACAGAGGATGGATAACGGAGTTCAAACATACCTGTGATCGGGTGAATAATACTTGCTATGTTCCAGTTTGGCTTACCTCTGTACTACTGGAAGCTCCGGGGTTCTCCACTTTTTGTCTACTCTGCTCGACTACCTTCGAGCCAGGGCAATGCAAATGTAGCATCTCGATGGGAACCGGCACATCCAATGCTTCATGAGATCAAGGTGGTGGGCAGTGACTAATGGGGGTCGGGAAAATTCATCACTGATAAAAATGACGGGGGTGTTTGGTTCCCGGAGCGGTTCTCGGAAGTCGATATCGATTAAAGGGAACTGCTCTATATATAATTTTTTAACATCTTGTGCTGAATCGGTTTTAGTCATTCCGTTGTGGAGCTATGAGTCATGTGACAGCTTTCGAGGTTATGCTCCTGCGATTTTGGAAGTATTTCTAAAATCACCGGTAGGGTGGATACCAAAGAGGTATGACACCAAAAAATGGATAAGCTAGTAATTACGATTTTGGGGATGAAATGGGATGCACACTGACATCCCTTCCTCCATACATGCAACATGGACATTGCCGCGGCCCTCCTCCAGCCTAGGTCTTTCCACCGTCCACTGCCCAGAGAAGCCCTCTCTACCATCAATTCCACCAACCATTAGCATCTCCCAATAACCCGAAAATGTGCAAGAAGGAAAACTCGCCACGCCAGCCAAATTTCCCACTTCCCCTTGTGATCAACCCGCACTTCAAATCACATCCTGGAAAACCGGCTGGAGTACTGTACAGTGTACGGCAGGCCACTCCCGTCAGCCAGCTCATCACCACTGTCTGAGTTTGTCTTCACACTTAACGCCAGGCCAGTGGGCAGCCTTCCCGATCGGGCATCCCAGTGGGGCGATTCTTGGACTTCCCGGTCCAGCATGAGCAGTTTTATTTTCATGCCGTCGGTGCGTCATTGGTACCCGCTGCTGGGCACAGGAGGGGGGACAGGATGGAGCACTTTGAAGATTTGAGCGTGGTGGTGGGGACTTCGAAGATCATGTATGTCTTTACCCCGTCGCTGGAGGAGCCACTATTGGGTTGTAGTTGCGCGGAGTGTTGGGTGCCCTGGGAGGTGTCTGGGGTAGATTGCCTGTTGAGATAATGAATGGGGGGGAGAGGGTTTTGGCTCATCGCGGGGATGGGGGGGGGTTAGTAGTAGAAGTGGAAACGTGTGCATTGCTGTGAATGTCTGTCCATCCTGAATTCTCTCCGTTTGGAGGGCTTGATTGGGCGGGTGGGAAGATGTGCACTATTTTGACTCAACTGGTACTATATCTTTATATGTACACTTTATCAGACATCGTACTGTTCAGTTCGTATGGTTTTCCTTCTTGCTCGTATGATATTGCTCGTTATTAATATCGCCGAGCCCGGTTCACCTGCAAAATCCAGCTCCTTCGGGGTATGACACAGAGAAGAAGAAAAATCATTCGGACGAGTGTAGCCTTTGCTGGTGTTAGCCTTCTAGTCCTCCGTGGGTGCCATGCCAACGGATGTTGGGTTGGTGGTAGCTTCTGGGGCGGGGTGGGGAGGAATCGCTGGTTAAAGTAGTCTTGAGGTTCGGCCTCGTCTGCAAGGATATATTGCTCTACATTCCAACCCCCGGTGGTCTAGTGAGCAGAAATAATGGTTCATAGGGGCTCTACAAGTTATGTGGACTAAAGGATCTTGGGAGGAGGAGTCGGAATTAGAAGTTGATCAATGCTTGCTAAATTTGCTATTATTTCGGGGAATAATTTGTCTTGCTTCCGGTAGATGAAGATTCCTAGAGCAAAGAGGGAGAGAGAGTAGTGACCCACTGAATTTCCCACATCTATTGGACCGCGCAGTAGCATTCTCTCGCCCAACAAGCGGTCGCGCTTCCAGCATTTCTGTCCATCCAGGACGGGTCCGGGCGACAAATGATGAGACCGCCCTATCTCTGGACGGAGCGGATAGGGCGACGGCAGTCGACTCCGAGGTGGCCAATGCACCTGGTGAGACACAAACCAGCACCAGGACGAGTTAAACAAAATGGAGTGATATGGGTATCCACAAATGAAAACCCAGTGCTAGCGTAGTCTGACTGGACGAATATGGAGAGGAGAAGAGAAGTAACGAGAGGACGGAGAAGGTAAAAAAAAAAAAGAGTTGGAAAATTGCACTCGTATCACACCATCTTGTGAACACTGACGTAGGATCACCACCGACACGGAATAGAAGTTTACTGTACGAGTACGGGTATGGATAGTTGCTCTGATTTCTGGTGCTCTTCTTGGCGAATGACCACCAACTCTACTATATATTAGACTGCTCGTACTCGTAGGGGTGAGAGAGACAAACCGGACCATGTGATATCATAGTGAAAAAAGACTTGATTTGAAGATTTGTGAGCAGTAGCAGTAGCAGTAGCAGTAGCAGCAGTACACATCATTGCAGTATTGAAATCTGTGGGGGGGTGGGGTGGGGGAGGATCCCAACCTGCTTATCGTAGTTCCTTATCTTAACGAGAAACAATGATCGAATTCCTAAATCGTCCCCCTCCGGAAAAAGCCATCTGGCGAAATCCGATCAGCTTTCTCGATACTCGTACAGCCATCTACTCGAGTATCTACTGCACTGGGGACCCATGCACACGGCTGTAGCCAAAACTCCGGGGCAAAAGGGAATCTAGCCTCACCAGTATCCCGGGCCATCCGAGTGCTGCTGCGCATGTCATAAAATTATTATCATATCATACCTTTTTCTAGCACGACGAAGACTGTAGTAGCCCGCTATCTACGACGACCAAACCTCCCGCCCCCCCTCCCCCAGAGGACTCCACACGCGCACTCTCTATCACAACTAGCTACTATGATATGACACCTCAGTTGAGAAACAGTTGTTTGATTGATCCACACAACATTTACCTAAAACCAAGACCGACCCCGCTCCTTCCCAATAGTGATAATAATAATAGCCCTTCGGTACCAAGAGTCCCCCTCCAACCTTAGCCTACCCGAGACGGGCCGCGGAGGTATAACAGGGAAGGAAGAAGGGAAGGCAGTCAGTCGAGAACTGACAAAGTATCATAAATAAACTGCATTTCATCCTCCCCCGATGCATCCGAAAGGCAAGAAAAGCGAGGGAAAAAAGAAATGTCCCAGTCGCGGTTACACGAAACCTCCCATTCCCCAATATTTTCCCACCGACTTTCAAGATGGAAAAAGTGCCTCGGGAAGGCATTAGATTCTCGGGATGCTGGGGGCGGTGTCGAACTTCCCCGATCTGCAAGGGTGTTAGGGGGGGGGGAGGGACTTGTGTGTCGCGTCGGCATCATTCCTCATCACTCGCCAAACAATTTTTGATGTGCAGAAAGGGCTTAAGTAAGCGAGGAGAGATAATTGAGCGAATTATGTGATTGCCCCAAGTTAGTTAGACTCTTACCGGTAGGTATCATAACTGCACTCATCCTCCGCCTTAAATTTATCATACTCGACTACTTCACCCAACCAACAACTTTCCCCTCGCACGTCTTCAGATCCCACCACCCCCACCATAAGTTACTTCCTCTAAGGTAACTCGAGTATAAGCGGTATGGGACCCCACTATGTGCTTCCAAGACATATAACCATGCGGCACTTATCCGGCAACGAAAACTTTGCAAAAGGGAAGAAAAGCGAGTTCGAGTCCCGCCCTCCATTGGTCTCTCGACATTTCCCAGAGTGGAAGAATCGGGCTTTTTAACTGTACTTGTACCGTACAAGTAACGAGTTATGTACTCGAGTACTCGTACTGGGGGGGGGGCTTACGGTAACACACCGGCACAAAATTCGATCAAAAGCAAAGAAGAAAGAAGAAAAAAAAAAAAGCTCGCGCGCGGGGTTTGGATTCTCCATTACAACACGAAAGCCATAGTACTCGAATAGTACGATTTCGAAGGGGTTTATGTCGGTAGATTCCGGCAGGCTGGCTTTCTTTTCCTGCGCACGCGACGAATACGGCACCGGTGACAAAGTACAAGTGCTGTACTTGGTACGCCGTGGTGGCCGAGAAGTATACTTGACCTGCCGGTACAGTACTCGAGCACAGCTCAGGCAGTCTCAGCTCGACACATCCTAGTTCATTCTTCGCCAGCATGGTTGCTGGGACCCCCCCCTCTCTCCACGTGGAGAGCCTGATCCAAGCTTCTTTTTTTAGGAACGCCTATAACCTCCCGGGCGGCTCCCGCACAATATTTGAAAAGCAACTTCCAAAAAATTACTAATTTATAGGTATGATACGATACTTCGATCTGTTGTTGCATCCACTAGCCATTTATCTCGGAAAAAAAAAAAGAGGAAGAAGAAAAAAAGAAAAACAAGTCATAGCGGTCAATTCTTTTACAGCCTGCTCTTCATTCGTTTCCAACGCATTATCATTGATCCATTACTGAAGCCATTTTCGCACCCGTATGATCCAACATGAGTAAATAAGCAATTGAGAAAGAAAAAAGAACCCCATAGAATAGAAACCCGAATTCAGTGAGAGTATGACAGTGGAAATGACTGTGGGAAAAGGGAGGGAAAAGTGATATGAAAAGATTTTTTTCTTGGAGGGACGATGGTGTCCGTACTAATTAAACAATATAGTTCCACGCTGCCAAAAACAGTGCCACCACGATGGTCATTTGGTTGGCACGGCCGCTCGCAGCGTCGGAACTGCTAGGATAGTATGGTACTATCTTGTCAACGACAAGTAGCTATTTCCAAGAAATTAGTGCTCCAGTTCATTCTCCCTGCTGTCAAGGAAAAAGTTCAAGGTGGAAAAAAAGCGTACCTTGCCTAGAGTATGCACAACCCCGTTATTGCAAATAATATTTGACTTTATAATCGGCGAATCATTGATAAAGTACTGCCCGTACTCGAAGCGTACCTTAAGGGTGGTATTTGCAGCGGTGGTCAAAGTCTTAACATCGTCCAACACGGGCGAGTAAGCGACAAAATTGGGGACGATGTGTTGCTTGAGCGTCTTCTCGCTCTTGTCCGCCTTGGGGGTGAATACGTCGTCGGCGTAGGTGAAGACCGTGGTGTCCGGTTTATCAATTAAACCTAACAGGCCAGCCCCTGCAAGGGCATCCTGGAAGTTCTTGTAGCCGAGGGACTTGATGGAGGACGAGCAGCGTTGGGGAACATCCAGGATCCTGGGGAACTTTGTTGGTTTGGGGGATATTGACTGGAGTGGGGGAGGAGGGGGAATACATACGTATCAACAAAATGGATAATACCACAATCGAACTCGATATCTCCAGCAACGATCTTCGACTTTGCACCCAATCCTCCAAACATCGATATATCTGGAATAGATACATTGCCTCTCGCCAACAACCTTTGTGCTTGCTTCCCATCGCCTGTGCCGTCGGCAAGGGTGATATCCTGCTTCCCGGTAGTTGGGTCTACACTCTGCGATGGGATGATTTTATCCTGCGATAGGGACATTAGGTCGGCCTTGCCGTCACCACTCATGTATGCAATCTCGCGATCGCTCAGCGGCGTTTGTTGTCGTTTTGACCTCCGTAGTGGGGGCGGGGCATTGCTGCTGTGTTTATCTAAGGCATTATCTGTTGGTAGGAAGAGGGTCACTGCGCTCTTGCCCGGTGGGACGAGTGCCTCTTGGGCTTTTTGGTTACCGTCGATTTGCTGTGCGAACTGCTTTCCTAGCGATTGGCCGTCAAGGGCTTCTTTGAGGGTTTGAGCAAGGGCCGGTGTTGCGAGAAAGGCTAGTGAAAGGAACTTCATTCTGCCGTTTGCTATAAAGTTTTATTTGTTGGAGAATGAATCTGAGGCTAGAAGTGGGGATGTAGGAAAGGGAAAGACTTGACGGTGGAGAGCTGAGAAATGCTGAAAGGTTGTATGCTTTATATCTTACCATAATGCCCATCTGGCAGTCCAATATGAGTAATCCTCATGATGTCGTGCAAATCTCCATTGAGTCGCAGCACAGGGATAGGAAGCTCCCGATGCACCATCAGAGTATTTCCCTCCCCGGTCTCCACCCAATCTCCACGGTGCTGCCAAGCACAGGATGGCTTAGGAGTGTAGAAGCACTTACAAGAACAGCACAGTGACCTCTCTGTTCGTTCATGTAAAGCGAGAAGAAGAAAAATAACAGGTATTGTTTTCTTTTCCGTGCAACCCTTTTCGTGCTTGTGCTTGTACAGTGGTTGGACGGAGGTGCAGTCGGCATTCGAATGGGCGAAAGTGTGATAACCACGTTTGGGATGGGGGTGTGTATCTTTGCTTGTATTGGTTGGGGGGGTTTTTACCAAATCGGGAGGGTTTATTAGATTTCAGTGCAAATTGCACGACCGGTGCTGTCGTCGAGCGTGGTGCTGTGCCCGACAGTGTTGTACTCGAGTAGTGCTCCCGGTACTTAATACTTAGTAAGTGGCCTGTGCGTAACTTAGAGGTGTAATTGCTCCTCTATAAACTGCAAGCCCATGTTCGTTCGGGATTCTCGAACCCGTAGAATCATGAGTGATGATACTTGCTTGGGTGCAATCACCACTGCTTTACTCCGGTACCGGTACATTCTGACCATGTGCGATGCCCACCACCAACAACGGGGGGGGCGGTTGCACTGTACTGTACTGGTACAGTTAGGCGTGGAAGCCCACTGTCTGTACTGTACAAGTACTGTACGTGCTGAGGCATCGTAACAATAACCGGTACGGTAGCAAGGTCATTATAGTACATGGAATGTCTCAGCCGCAGAAACTGATCAGTCATGGAGACCCACCCAAGGAATCGTAAACACGGCGCGCCCCACCGCTCCTGGCACAATAGGTCGGCGGGAGTGAAAAGTATCGCTTCGTCTATATTTGCCACCTTTTTGCTCCTTCGAGTATTCAGTGATTAAGAATAGTTCAGGAACTAGAGAATATGGCAATGCATGATACTCCATAGGTGTTTTCTGCTTGTCATGTCACAGCATGAGCTCACCGGCTACACTGCCTTCGGTAAAAAGATCTTAGGTTAAAAGGCTGGGAAATCTGCGCAGGTTCGGGGATAAAGTTGGTGCATTGTTTACCAATATTGCTTTTGCCAGATGCAGTGCCCCCTACGTTAGTAAGAGGGCCAGCACAACGAACTTGCGTGGAGGAGAACTTATTTCACGCTCCACTGGTACTCGAGTACGGTACTGTATCGAACTCAGGACAGCCTCTATTAATAACTAGACCAACATCATGAAAGGCCCTTTCGAGTGCAGTACCGGTATATTATAGTCCTGCCGAATGAATTGTCCCAACCATCCTTCAGTTCTTTGGTTCCTTCCCACCCGAGAGCTTAAACGGTCCCACTGTGTAAGGAGGTAACTTGTGGTATTGCACAACCACAGTCCATAGCAAGTAGACCAAACGCCGAAATAGTCCTGCGAATGATTTGAGAGGGTATGTTAAGGGTACGAGGCTCCACTCAAGTAGCTCCCAATATGACATAAAACGCCCCGCCCATTGGAGCAAACCCGGCCGCCCCCAGAAATAACTTGCATATGCAAGGCTCGGTTCTCCGTAACCTTAGTTCAACGACTCGAATTGGAACTCTCAAGGCTTATCCTTGCTGTCTCAATCTCGATCGGTGGAGGGAAATGAGGTAAGTTAAGCAGAAGCCATCAAGTCCGGAAGTTTTTGCTTTTTGTTTTGTTTTACGGGAAGGAAGTGACGGTCACACCTGAGCAAAAAGGGCTCGATATGGTGTGGGGAGCTCAGGTGGACTGACAGCTGGCAGGGAATTGTGGGTTGTTGCTCTCCCCCGTGCTCTTGGGTATGATAGGTTAGCAATTTAGTGGTTGCATTCTTCATTTGTCCTTTTCGCTGCTATACGAGTACCAAACCTGTTTGGTTGGAAGGTTCCGCTTCGGGCTTCTGGACGAAAAAAATCTCAGCCCTTCATGGCGAAATCAAGCTGATTTTGAGAGAATCTATGGATGGGATAACGAGGCCCGGGTTTTCATTGGAGTGATTGCGAGTCGTGGAATAATTCTGTACCGTATCATACACCCTTACTCTGGTATAGTTCAGAACCACTGAGGGCCCTTCAAACATCCAACAACCTCTTTTGCTTAGCCATCTAGAAGCACTCAAGGAGCCACTGGTAGGGGCTTAAAGCGCCCTAATATCACAGGAGTATTTTGAATATGAATTGGTATCATGATTCCTCCTCGCTTAAAAAGTGTGGAGTGCAACAGCCTTCCCAAAGCATGACTAGTACGAGTAGGGCACGAGAGTAAAATTGTATCATAAAAGACCGTGCAAGATTTGTTAGTTGTGAGGAAAAACGCCGAGAAACATACACCACAGCATTAGACATACTCGAGTACGGCACTTCGGGGGGAGGCCGAGGATTATTACCACAAGTACTCGAGTACAGTATCTGCAACTGGGTAACTATTTTAGCCGTGGGGAAAGGGATGCCTAGTGATCCCGGCGAGACGTAGGGATTACCCAAGTACGGTACTCGTGCTCGAGTAGACACAAGTGAGACAAGACAGTGTCTTAAGAGCTTGTCAGCCCAAAGCTGATCCGGATGCTAAAACCTTCCTGCCTATCATTCCAAAAGCGAATGAGAGGGCAGACGTGAGACAGATCATTTTAGTGAGGACTCCTCAGGCTGGGGCCCATAGTTCTCCAATCGTGCCACAGCCAGAATAAGCTGGATTCGATGGTCAGTTGCAAAACACTCCCGAGAGAAATTCAAAGAATAGAATTAACTTATTAAAAGAAGTGATGAACACAGACGTTCCATTTCCTTTTCAGCGAAGCCCCATTGCTTCATACCCTCTAAGCCTCATGCCCCCGAGCCGGTCTGCGGCCCCCCCTCCCCCGGGGGCTCAACCACCCACAAAAGTCCTCGAGCCATCGCTTACCGTACTCGATCACGTCGTTAAAAGTTGCATCCCTGACAGGGTCACCCCAAAACAAGTGACGGACATAATCTACTAGGGATGATCTCTCGGTCGGGTGGGATAAGTAACTCTTGCGCGAAGAGCAATAGGATGGAAGGATTCTGGTTCTGCTGTGAAATCTGCTGCGGTAATAATTTGCTGTAATTATTAAGTCTAATTTCCCCAGCCTGTGGGCAGGGTTTCTTTTATTTCGTGCTAAGGTACCGGTATGTTCTGTGCAATGTAGGGGCGTCATCCAGGGATGGCGATAATGAGATGGTTCGGTGGTGGATGGAAGGCAGCCGCAATTGATCATCTGGAGAAAGAAGTGGTGAGAGAGCTTTTGTGTGATTGCGTGGGGAGGAGAAGCAAGAAAGATGAGTTCAGGGGTAATGTAGTCTTACAAGTATTACTAGGACACTGCTCGGTCTAGACGGATATTGTTTGCAACGAAAACTTGAAAAACGGGATAAAACAATTTACGAGTGATTATTCATGTTATATATTTTTATAGAGATCATCTACGGGACTCGAACCATGTCCTTGAGTATATTCAATATTGAAACCTTTGGTATCACAGTACAGTCCCGCCTAAAACCTCCCCTTCATAGGGCTCGTCCCAAATCGCAACAACAAGGTCCATCCCATCCTGCGTCAACTCAAGGAAAGCGATTGCCATCTCGTCCTCAACAACCTCCATCGCGGGCAGCATATTAGTGTACGAGACATTTCTGTTCGGCGAGTAAAGCTCTCTCGCCTGCCGAGTGGCACCACCGATTTTCAGGCACGACTCCCAATCCCGCTCCATAACGCCCGGTATATCTGATGGATAGAAGCCTTGTATACGGAGCTGATAGAGCATCAGACGGGTACCTTCAAAGTCCTCATTGCGACCGGTGAAATCCATGGCGAATGATAGGCCAGTCCGGCCTTTAACTGTAAAAGGCGCAGGAAGGCCAGAGGCGGAGGCTCCTTCCGGCAGTCGGTATTCCAAGTCTGCGGTTAGCGAGGCATCTGTGGTGGACTTCGGATGGGCATCGGGGGATAATTTGTAGTAGTAAGAAGTTGCTTGTCCTGAGCGGTCCCTTAGTTCCCAGAGAGCAAGTCCGACGTCTTCGGCCTCATATCCGGGTGTGTCAAAAGCGTCTACTGGCGAGATGGCATGAGGGAAGCGGGGTACCTTGAAAGTAGTGGCTAGAATGTTCGATTCACGGGGGGCTGCTGCTTTGGTTCTTCCAACAAACCCGCTCCACTCCATTTCCTTGGAATCATCCTCAATGGTGAAGGTTTTGAAGCTGAAGAGATAGCCCCACTCCCCTGGGAATCTTCCCCAGCGGTTTGCATTGTTGTTACGTTTATCATTTCCAGCAACTACCACGTGTTGTTGGCCCTCAGATCCATGCTTCGCAGCGACAACCACGTCTGTAATCATGACTATTCCGGTTAGGGAGGCAGCCGGGACACGCCGAACCATTCTACCCGTCTCGATATCCCAAACACAAAGCATGCCACCACTGCGGGAGGCTTCTGCTCTCGAGTATGCAGCGTAATATTTTCCGGAATGATCACTCCTGATTTGGTGGGAGTAATCAATGTATGTAAATTCGAAGGTGCTGATGGTGGATATATCTGTGGCTACGATTGCGTCCTCTCCTTCGAGCGAGAGCCTGAAAAAGTTGACAACGGCAACCCAATCGGAGCGGCCGGGGTTTGTTACTCGCTCCTCAGATCTTTCAACTGCCAGAACGTCTCGGCAAACCTCAGAGACTGTCAGTAAGGTAACATCACCTTAGATTGGGAGGAGGGGATAAAGCAAACCTTGACAGCAACCGAAGTCTCCCCTTTAGCACTTATCATCACCCTCCCATTGCGTATGTGTCTTGTGTCTCCGGAAGTGTCTAGGTAAACCAGTGCTAGTTGGATGGTTGGATGATGGCGGGTTTGGGCTACAATGAGGTTCTCAGAAAATGTCCAGATGCAACCATTTCTGCGGGTTTTTGTGATTGGGATGCGAAGCTCTTGCTGAGGAAGTCCGGACTTGAGAGCAGCATAACGCTTTCCAACATGGTTAAGGACTGACGAATCAATGGAGCGTGAGGGTGTACGGATTTCGCGACAGAGTGGATAGTGAACTCGGAGTGTTGCTTGAGCAAGGGTGCTTGATGAGAATACCGGATACCAGGACTTTTTTTTTTTTTTTTGGCAGGTTCTCGTCAGTGCGATGGCTAGGAAGTGTAAAGTAACGTAGGGGGGGGGGAGGCGGTATACTTTACATACTCGCCGAGCACGAGCCACATCGGAGGGATCCAAATAAGGTACGAGGAGAAGAGCCAAATGGAGGGGCAAATGGACGGACATTTCTGGAGGCGCTGACTGCCCGCCACTGAATTATCGATGATCTGGAAGCGATTGAAACTGTGGTGTTTGTACTGAAACCGAGATATACCCACGAGCTGAACAATTACAGTACCGCTGCCGACACGCTGAAGGTGGGTTTGCTCGACTTTTATGGATAGAGCATTCTAGTCCTGCGGAATGAGGCTTAGAAGGTGGGGCAGGGAACCTCCGAAATCCTGCATTGTCCTGGTGATAACGCGTGGTGATGGCGTGGATGAGGACGCGGCTTGCACTTTCACGGGGCTTGGCTGTGCCCGAATACTGTAGCCTACCGTACCCCTGTGGCTTACTACCGCACTCGCACATCCTCTGCCCAAATTAGTTCTCCGAGTGACACTATATAGAAACTTGATGCTGTAGCATTATCCTGACAGTGTCGCCCCCTACCTTTCTCCTACCACGAGCGCTTTCTTGTCCTAAATTTAGGGAGAAGAGAGAGTAGTATGATACCCCACACTGAATCACTCCGGACTCTCAGGTATACTCGAGTAGTTTGCTCGAGTACATCTCTAGTTTGAAGCTTGATCAACCTGGACTGAAAGTGGGCGAACTAGCTGCTGATTTTGCTCGAATTCGGGGATCTTCGGACTAGATCCACGAGTATCATGCCGTGTCCTAATAATTGGTAGTAGCGCACATAATCCGTATGCAATCTGATGCCCACGCGTTAACTTATGGAGTTATGAATAGATACCCTACAGGGTACCAGGCCCTCTTTTTTGGAGCAGATGGATAAAATAATTGCTCGTGGCAAGGTTGTCGAGTATGATAGTAGTAAACACTGTATCGGTAGTCGAGAACTGGGAAACTCACCGTGAGCCGAGATGCGATCCAACTACCAGTTAAGTTACCCATCTAGGACTATGCTCGAGTAGGAGTGTATATGGTGGCTGGATCATCTTTGTTTTCCGGCATTACCGGTATTGGCTTAAGCTCGCGTACCAGGTTTTCGGCCAACCCTAGTTTTCGGCCACAACAACAACCACATTCCGCATCAAACATCGTACAGAAAATACTGCCAATCACCACCACAACATGGATACCCTGGAGAAATCAATCACTCTAGCCTTAGCAGCAATTGAGAATGGCACCTCAGAGAGAAAGGCAGCGAAAGAATATGGTATTGCGCGTACCACACTCCAAAGTCGTCGCTTGGGGGCATCGACCGCAAGCTTTGGACAGTATCATCAACAGCACCTGTCACCAGATTAAGAAAGATGTTTGTGTGACTGGATTGTAGACCAGGAGGGATGTGGATATGCCCCATCACACTCCCGGACAAGAGAAATGGCTACTCTTATCCTCCTCAATTCTGGTGACACCAAACATCTTGGAAAGAAGTAGGTTCCCCATTTCATGAAACGCAATCCATGTATCACAAGCTTAATTGGCAAGCCAATTGAGTTGGCCTGCATTCGGGGTACCCAACCGCAGTTTATTGAAGACTTTTACAAGCCGTTTGATACTAGTTGGGCTGGTCATAATACCAAGAAGAGCGATATCTGGAACATGGATGAGCATGGTATTGTATTAGGTGTTTGTACCAACTCTGTGGTATTAGGAGAGAGTGGAAAGTGCCAAACCTACATCCAATCTCCCGAAAATCATGAATGGGTATCTGTCATTGAGGCAATTAATGCCTCCAGTCATTACATCCGACCCTTAGTGATGTTTAAGGAGAAGGATTTCTAGACATCATGGTTCACCATTGAGAACATACCAGATTGGCTTGTTACTACCACTTCCAAAGGTTGGACCTCCAATGATATTGGATTATACTAGCTGCAAGAAGTGTTTCTTCCAGAAACTATCTGCACTCTTGCTGATAGCCGAACTGCATACCGTCTTCTGCTTTTGGATGGTCATGGGAGCTATGCTACGGTGGAGTTTATGTGGATTTGCAGACAGAACCAGGTTGATGTCTTATATCTCCCAGCCCACTCAAGCCATGTCCTACAACCGCTAGACCTAGATATATTCTCACCACTCAAGTCACGCTACCGTAAAGAAATAGCTGATCTCATGTTAGGAATACCAGAACCCGATACCTAGGAACCACCCTAAGTAGGGTAATCCCACTCGGAATCGGAATCTCTGATCTCCAACACCCCCCTCCAGCTCCCTTATGGGGCCTGCGTGTCATCATATATATCAATCTCAAATGCGTCCTGTGACTATATTATCACAGAATTGAAGGTGTTAGAATAATACTATATATGTCGTCGCCGTCCATCCGACTGGATCCTGTTCGCAGGATATATGAGAGGGGACCTTCGGCTAGGCCTGGGAAGTAGAACGGAGTAATTCTGTCAACTACTCAGAGAGTTACCTGGCTTGAAAGACATTACACCTTTGGCATAGGCAGTAGGTAACGGGACGATTTCACACAAAGAGATGGTATTAAATGGTAAAAGATCTCTACTAGAGACCAATACATTTACATACACCAGAAGAGTCTAGAGCTCCAAAAAACACTACCAAAGAAGCCAATGAACTTCACGGAGTGTTATAACTGGGTTTCGGAATACGTTGTAGCCATAGGGTGATTCTCAATACTACAATAGTTACTGAAACCTACTACCCAGAGAGCAACCAAGGGTTGCCGACCGAGGGATTAATTACCAGTCTAGTGGAGTGGCTTCCTGCGAGTTAATAGGAAGTCATCCAAAGAAAATCTATCGGTTGGGTATGGAGTTACAAAGAATCGGAGTCAAATGACCTACGATAGTTGTAATGACGACCACCTTTGCAGATATAGCCGTGGATAAGACTGATTATTTTATCAATGGCAAAGACAATTGGAGCCAACTCAGTTCGACTTAAGAACTAGGCCATAAGTCTAAAGACTTTGCTAATCGGTATATTACTATTGGGGACAGTACGCTTCCTAAGAAGAAATATCGTAATTACCAAAGAGGATGTGATGGTTTTCAGGGTCCACAGGTGTTCGCACCTTGGAAGAAAACTCGACGTCGCGAAATACGATTGAAGAAGTACATAGTTGTATAATAAATAGATGTAGTCCGTGAACACTCAGATGTGGAATATAAATATCGAAGTGCCTCCTAAGCTTTAGACATCATCAAGCAATGGAGAAGAGACCTTAACAATATAATATTGTTTTTACGATTCTACCCTACTTCACCTACTTTACTTTGCTCCTAGTAGTCATAAATGAAACGAGCTAAGTCCGAGCCTTCCTAGACAATCTCCGTCTACAAAAACGAATCTCAATTGGCCTAGACAATCTTGAAGTCTATTAAGTTGTCTCCACCTAACATCTCGCCCACCTTGACGATACTGCTCCAGTAAAGAAGCGCCAATTTGTTAAAGCATATCAAAAAGCCCGGGCAGCAACCTTTACAACTCAGACTCTAAGAGCAGGCTGGTCTGCTGTTGGCCTTTTTCCTTGGAATCCTAGTAAAATCCTTAACTCATCTCAACTTCATAAAAGTCACTACTGGACAAATTGTGTATCCTACTTCCCCACCTCTTGCCGTCCAACCTCCTGCCCCTCGCTCCTCCTTTACACCAAAGTGGTCCCAGGCTAGTGACTTTGAGACTCTTCTCAGAACTTCCAAATACCCCTAAGACATCCACTATGCTGTTCAGAGGTTGGGCCCATTGATGCGAGATCAACAAAGCGTTTTCCAGAAGGTTCAAAAAGCACTTGGGAAAGCCACTATCAGAGATAGCATTTTATGTGCAACTAATAAGCACCTCCGTGTTCAAATCAATGAGTTAGAAAGTAAGAAGAAGAAGTAAAGGGTTATTTTAGATATAAATACAATTTTTGCGAATGTAGAAAGTATAAAATGGTCATTGGAGGAGGCAGAAAAGGTGCGAGGTGAGGCAGCAGCAGAAAAGGTTAAAATTGCAGAAAACAAAAGGCTCAGACGAAGGCAAAAGAGCCTTCTTTAAAAGAGGTAGCATTAAGAACCTCTAGAAATTTGCAAAAAGCACAAATAAAATCCTGTATATTTCAATAAGAGTTGTAAATCGAATATATTTTTGCAATGGGTGGTCACCCCAAGGTGGCAAAAAACTAGGGTTAGCTGAAAACGTGGTACACGAGCTTAAAGCCTTCACTGACTTGCCCGCTGTTGTACGAGTACTATACTCGGATATGGATGTAAAAATCGAGTATGACAGGGATAAAACTGGGCACTACGGGAATTATACAGATAAGAGATCGAAGAAAAAAAGGGGCTTCAGAAGGGTGAAAACCGAAGTAGTTGCATACATATAATTTCTCCATGAAGTTGCAAAAAGTTCACGTCGGTCAGCTACCGGCACAACTATACATATAGAGACATACTTGAATACAAATTTTCCATTCAAATATGAGCTAACAAATAATAATCAATAAATAGTAAGAGTATAAATGAGTGAAAAAATAATGAAAAAACATAAACTAGAGTGAAAGTGCAAACAAGAGAAAAAGGACATGTAACCGGTACGGGTACTTGGTTATTGGTTTTGTTTTATATTTTGTTTTAAGTATCGCTTTGATACTTGGTTTGTTTTAAGTATCGTTTGATACTTGGTTTTGTTTTATGTTTTGTTTTAAGTATCGCTTTGATACTTAAGAAGTTTTACCAAAGTGTATCGCTTGATACCTTTGATTAGTTTCGTTCATGCTAGACATGAACAGAATTGTGTATTTAAAGACCGCCTGTTTCTACGATAGAAGAGGCAGACTTCGACTGACAGTATTTCAATATACTTGGTTGAACGGTTACTACTTTGTTCCCCAGTACACCCACAAAGCCTCCTTTAGTTCTGAGCTCTCGCCACCTCTCTGGAAGAGCAGGCCACCTGCCAACTATCGTATCTATTATCGATAACGTGATTAGCACCTTGCGAACACATTACATTTTTTTAACCTCAGCAAGTGGTTAATAACCTGTCCCTGGATTTAGGCCTGATCAACCTATCGATATCCACCTCAGAACGCTAGCGGAGAGAAGCGGCAGATCTACAGTACATTCGGCTTCATCTCAAACCCAAGATAGAGTCTTTGACGACCAGGAGTGGGAAGCAAATCCCACGGCAAGACCTTACAAGGAAGAAACAACCTCAGTGCTCTGCTAAAGAGCCCGGCGATCCTGCAAATACGGAAGATACACAACCTCCTGGAGAATTCCCTTCTACTCCAGCAAAAAAACCTTCCTTTGAACCTCCAAACGACCCCGAATCTAGTAGCGAATCAGATATGGCTAGCACAGGAGGAGGGCCTTGTGGAGGAGGGAAATCTCGGGCAAGGCCTGAAGAAGAGGAGGTACCCGCAGCATTTGAACCCCCTAAGTTTAAACTTCACCTCCCAGCGAAGTTCACAGGCGAAGGGAAAGACCTCAAACCTGAAGCCTTTGAACGATGGGCCACAGAACTCTCACACTTCCTACTCTTACAAGGAAAAGATGTGGAAGACCCTACAACCGGACTTATCATTGGATCATTCTGTGAAGGAAAGGCAACTGACGCATACCACCAATGCTATAAGGACTTCGGCGGGAATATAAGATTAAGAGGATCTACAGTTCTCGATTACTTGAAAGGACGATTCCAATCCTCTATAACCAACGACCTCCTATACAACAAATTCAACCAGCTCCAGCAAGTTAACGGAACACATGTCAAGCGAATCACCGATGTGGCTACGGACCTAATAATGTATAAGGACCGAATGGAGAGAGGAAGTATCTCCAAATACATCCTAAAGCGATGATTCTACGACACTATGCCCCCTACCCTCCGGCGAGAAGTAGAACCACTCGAGGAAGACGGCGATGAGATTGCAGTAATAATTGCTAGAGTAGAACGAAAGGACGCCATTCTCCATGAAACCAAGGCCTACAAAACACAGACATCCTCTAATAGGAACAGCCAGCCACGACACAAAGCCTCCAGCAACTCTGAAGATGATACCCCACGGGTTTTCAAGAAGAAATCAAAACCCTCCAAAGAATCGAGGCGGCAAAAGGGAGAATGCTTTGAATGTGGAAAAACAGGGCACATGGCAAAGAATTGCCCTACGAAGAAAGGAAAAGGAAAGGCTATTAAGAAAGAGGCGTCGGCCAACAATATTGAAAGCAATTACGCTCCATCCAGTGAATATGAAGAGATTCACATTGGATACATCGATGTGGAATGCAACAGTGTTCGACCTCCGGCTACATTCAAAACACACACCGCTCTAGAAGGTACTATCCAGATCAATGGCAAAAAGGCTCGAGTCCTATTCGACACTGGTGCAATCGGAAGAGATATGATCAGTAATGCCTTTGTCTCTGTCCATGGACTCCCTACCCGAGACCTTAACCAACCCATACCAGTCAATATGGCAGTAAAAGGATCACGATCCACAAGCCATAAAACCTGTAGTGCGACCATTCGACTTAGTTCTGCAGTCCTACCGCCCCAGGAAATGCTGGTTGGAAACTTAGCCAAATACGATGCCCTAATAGGCATGCCATTCCTAAATCGCCACAAAGCTATAATCAGGTGTGGGGAATCAACTATCGACTTCCCTGAACAGAAGGTTAGAGTCTCATGCAAACCAACAAGCGGAGAATATCGAGCCGCAGTCTGTGAGACGACTGCCCTTCGACTATTGGATGAGTACTCTGACGTTTTCCCTGACCAAATACCCGAAGAACTACCGCCGATGAGAGAGGTGAACCACCACATCCGCCTCCGAGACCCCTCCAATCTCAAGTACCAACCCACCTACTCTATTCCTGACGCATACAAAAGTCCACTTTGTGACTGTATCAACTAACAACAAAGAAGAGGAGTCATCTACCTGGCCGAAGTCCCTGGTGCCGCTCCTATGTTTCTTCAACCCAAAGCAGATGGCAAAAGAATCCGCCCCTTGGTTGATCTCAAACTACGGAATGAAAATACGGCTATCGACAGCTGCGCTATCCCAAACCAAACCCAGATCCTAAATGCAGTTGGACGGGCTAGATTCCGAAGTAAGATTGACCTAAGTGATGCCTACTTCCAAACAAGGTTAGACCCA